CAGTGTCGGGCGGTGGGGGGAATCTTATATTTGACTCTGCCAAGACAGCATGTGCCGTCTCTCTGGGAATGCTGCTATATAAGAGAGAACCACAACACGAGTAGTTGTTCTGGAGAAAGATAAGGGATTCTGAGAACAGCCAAAGTCAACCTAATCTTAGCCTGTGATGAGGTCGGCAAGTAGTTTGATCCTCCTCTGTCTGCTCACACACACTCCAACCCCTATCCCAGTATTTTTTACCTCAGCGATGCTTCCTGTCCCTGACAGTTGATCCTTTTAAGCTAACAAGAAAATACTCCCAAGGCAAGGCTGAAGAAGCACATGAGCGGAATACCTTGGCCTCCTGGAGTGCCTTTCTGTTAGGGCAGAGGTGTGAGCTTCGGTGGGAGAGAAAGAATCAAGCTGACATTGGCTTTGTCTCAGCCTTTCCGGTCTGGGGGTCTGAGTATGTTAGGACAATTTCTATTTTCCATTCTGATGTCCCTAGGAGTCTTGTTAAATAGATATGCCTGCATTTATTCTTCATTAACCCAATCAACAACAACAAAAAGTGACCATGAAAACCTGTATTTGTCTTTCTTATCCATCTCACGTGGATAACGGGTACTGTAGTAATCTATTTTAAGAGAGCCTTATTTCAGAACGTTTTCAAAACTGGTGCAAACAGGAAAGACTGTGTTTTCCCCTCTAAGACAAGAATGTCATGCCACCTGGGTACATCTCGATCTTGTTAGAAACCACGTAGAGACCTTTTATCCTTGAAGTTGCTGGGTCCCAGCCTGTTGCCATTGATTTGGAAGTGGCTTTAGAAGTGTCCAAGTTGTCTTTGAATTGTCGCGCCATGGACATCAGCAGTTGTCTCCCTTCTACCACAGAGAATAATACTTGCACTTAATTTTCTTCCAGCTAGAGGGAAGATACCTGTGTGGTTTTCAAAGGGTTTATTTACTCCTATTACTAATTCATTAAAATATATTAAGCAAAAGAAGACCTGACTTCAAACAAACAAACAAACAAACAAACTTTGTGTGCATTATGGGTTCAGCTGATCCGGGAGGGCAGCTGAGCCTGAACCCTTAGGTCTGAATGGGCCTGCGAGGTGGGCATGAGGGCGACCAGGTACGGATGTGAGGAAGACAAACTTCCCTCAACGTACCCAGGGAGCAGGGTTGGCTAGTCTTTTTCTCCTTTACCTGTGTGGGTGCAGAGAAACCCTATACCCCAAATCTCCAGGCCTCAACACCTCTCGATGGATGAAAGTTGTCTCGGGTCTGTTTCCAAGAGACCTGTCTTGCTTCTGGAAGCATGTCTCTTTCCCCATCAGGTCTGTTAATCAAGGTAGCAAAGTGAGGAAGCAGCTTCCTGCTTTGGGGCTGGAAGGAAGCCGACACGATGGACACAGGGCCCAGGATGTGAGGCTCTGTGGCTGGCCCGACAGCGGTGGGGCCCTGGGCCATGTTGCTAGGCAGAGCGCCCACACTTGCCTCCTGTCTAGAGATAATCAGTGGGCTCACGGGAGTATGTGCCTCCTACTGGATTATCTAATCTCTGGCGCAGAGCGACGAGTTTGCAAAACTTGGCTCCTTTTATTGGAATGTTGGGAGGCCCCATCAGAAGAGATCGGGGTGGTGCTGAGGGCGTTCTCTAGCGTCACCTGGAGCAGAAGGCTGGTTCAGACTTGGGGCGCAGGCTTACTGCAGGATGGACTTGATATTTGGAAGGGATGGTGGAGTATTCTTCTCCGGAGGAGTCCAGGAGCTCTGCTTGGTGGTCTGGGCTCCCATCTCGTGTGCTTTCTTAGCCTCTGGTGATGATTCTTCCTAAACCAAGAGTGGGTCTGGATTTTTGCTTTGGGAGGAGTAGGAGCGGGGACTACAGCTGGCACTGTTTGGGAGCTACTCCTGAATCCTGCATGCAAAACGTGTGCTCAGCCCTTTGAGCTATGTCATCAGTACCCTAGGATGGGTTTGAACCCAATTCATTTTCACTTCCAGAGGGTTTTGCCTGTTGGCCTTTGAGGTTTCTTTCTAAACTCAAGTGATCATTTGGTAGATAATCCTGTTTACTTGGCCCCTGTAGGGCAAAGCCTGACACCTTTGATCTTTGATCTGCTGTTTCCTGGCTAACTGGGAGCCAGGCTTTGGAGAGCCTGAGGATTGAGTCTTCCTTATTATGATTAGTAATGAATTCTGCAGAATAAAGGAGACCCAATCAAGGAACCATTCTGCTTTCTTTTACATGAAATTCTCCTAATATCAAAGGATCCTTTCTTCTCTAGAATTCTGAGAAACAAAAGACTGTGATTTATTTCAAATGTTGTAGTAAAACATTTTTTGTTATTTTGTAAAAGAAAAGAAAACAGTTTAGGACAAGAAATTTGAATGTGCTTAGGATAAGACTGAAGTAATGGAAAACTTATTTCATAAGTGAAGATCGTTTTGAGTTTCTCTAAGCACAGGATTATTGCTGTTTTCTAGTTATTTCCATCTTAGTGCAATTATTTTAATACCACCATTTTAAAACCTTCTATAAAACATCTTATTTGTATCCTACCACGGTAATTTTTGACTGTATGGCAAATTTTGTAGGGACAGAAAAGTAACAAGTACATACCTAATAATTTAAAAGAAAAAAATTGTGGAATTTAAAAATAATTCTAGAAGAGAAGGCAGTGCGAGTGTATCGACGAATAATACTGCACACGCGGATGTTTGAGCTCACCGAACACTTGCATTTCTGTTCCTTGTATTCCTCATGTCATTTTAGCAAAGCTCCAATTTACTCACATTCTGGTATTTTATTGGAAGAGTCTGACATGTAAGTTGGTTAATGAGATGTTACTCTGCAAACAACTCAGCCTTGCTAAATACAGTCTCCATGATGGACAACCATTATTTAAAAACTCAAGTATGAACTTGATGCTTTCTGTGATAATGTGAGCCTTGACAGGGAAGCGAATATGATAGTGTCACCACCACCAAATTTATGTCAGGCTCCTGTGTGCATCTGCTCGCCTGCCAACCGCAGTGCTGACTCTTGGTGGCTATTGTGTTCTATTTCCTTCCACAGATCAGTGCACTGTGACTCTCCACCCCCCCCCCCCCTCCACCCCTGTGTGCCTGCCTCCCTCTAGCATTGGCTGCGTAGGATTTATAATCCCAGTAAATCTGGCAGAATTTACTATTATCTGCATATCCACTTAAGTCAGGGAGCCTCAGTAGAGAATCCCAAGCCTGCTCTGGAGACAGCAACCCCCTTGCCTGGAATGTGGTAGAAAAATGCAAGGTCTTAGCAGCCTCCTCTCCTCCTCCTCGCTGAGGAATCGGAATAGAGGCCCAGAACTCTACTGGGTTATAATGGCTTACTCAGTTATATTTGAGAGCCATTGGTTCCGAGCATGGTCCCATTTCTTTCTATATTGTCTGCTCCAACTGATTTCCTAGGGACAGTTTTCCATGAATTCCCTGCCCCTCCCTGGTCTCCTTACATGGTGCATCTGGTCTCTGATGATTTTTCTGGCTTATTTCAGATGGACACAGCAGTGCTCAGTGGAGATTTCCACTTTGCCGGCTGGGCGGTCAGCTCTTTCCATAGATTCAATGCAGTCCTGCCCTCTTCTCTCTCCCTTCTTAGCTGGACTCAGAATGGCAACTGAGATTGGTGCCGCTCTAGCCTGGCAGCCCCATGCAGTGTCCCATAGCAGCTGACAATGACACTGGTCTAAGCTGTCCTTCAGGGCCTCAAGTTGCGAATCCTAAGGCTGACATCTGATCTCCCCTGATTAGGCCTGTCCTATTACTAAGGAACCGTTCTGTCCTCCATGAAATTCCAGTTTTAGACACCAAACCCTAAACTGCCCCAATCAAGATAGCAAAACTCATCGGCTACAATGTCTACTTAAAATCAATGAAGGCCTTTAGAAACACTATCCACGGGTTAGGTAAACACTGAGGATGAACCAGTGTCTAGTTTTGCTGCATGACGGAGTAAATTTCCCTGATTCTGTTTCCTCTTGATCAAATGAATAGAAGGTCACCTGTCAATGCTTGACAAAAGCAACTTCTATGCATGACTGTTTTCATGGAATCATTCACACGGCAGTGAGTCAGTCACCCTACCATGTACCAGTCGCTCTCTTGGAGTGAGGTCCTTGTGTGGATCCCTCTGGAAATCCTTTTTTGGGTTGGGTCAGTTGTGTCTTTGCTGTTGGAACAATCTGTCTTACAGAGAATGGATGGGGATGAGGAGGAGTACACACCCCTTAGGAAGTGAGGCATTGAGAAAAGAAGTGGATTTTTGAAAGCACTGAGGCATGCTGGGATCTGAAAGGATATGCCAGCTCAAAGAAACACAGAGACAACAACATCTTCAAATAGTTTTACTCTCTGCACAACTGTCACGAGTCCTATTTTTGCCAAATCATTCATTAACTTGTAGTTTTCCCAGTTTACAACCATTGCCTAGCAGGGATTCTTGATGTTCCAGCTCCTCTTTCCTTGGAGAAACCATCCTGTCTAGAACATCCCTCTTGATAAAACAATGGCTCATGAATGTACAAGTGTGTCTATGGCCCTAGTTCAACCCTACTTGTGCTTAATGAAAAATGACACAAATTTGTTTTCTCCTCAATGTCACTTTTTTCTTTTTCTGGATAAGTTCTGTTGGATCAATAGTATCCAAAGTGTCTTATTCTTTCCGATAAACTCTGTGGCATAGCCCATCTCCACGTACAGCACACATAACATTGGACAGGAGGAATTCACAGACCAACTCATTTCTCACGACAGACTGTAACCAGCCATGGCCCTGAGATGTCCTGGACTCTTGGAAAAGTCTCTCTGGTTTGAAAGGATCACACCATTTCCCCTTGGTAATGATGGCTGGCTTCATCCCTGGGGAGAACACGTGGCCAGCCTTCTCTTGGACACCCGGTCAAGTTAACAAGGGCAGAAACAGAACAAAATGACACAGTTGATTGAGTCTGAGGGTGATCTCCTTACCGGATCTGAAGCCAGGTCAGCATGGGGGTTGTCCCGCCTCCGAACACCCACACGGTGAAGAACACCAGGAGCAGAGTGGTGGTGAACATCATCTGTTTGGGCTGGGATCCCGTGTTGCGTATGGCCAAGGCGAATGCGATGGCTCCTCGCAAACCTGACAGGGGAAGGGAAGAGAGCAAAGAAACACCTCCTCAGCACCTTCCTCTTGTCACACAGTTCCTCGTTACTGCCTGCCGGGGATAGTGGCTTCTCTGAAGGAGCCTTTCTTTAGGGTGCTAAGTGCGGGACTATGGTTCCCAAGCAGCGAGATGGACAGAGACACTAAGTCAATAATGCAAAAGCAGTAGAAGTTTTATTCCAGTAGACTGGAGTCAACTATCTCACCCACAAAGTAGTCTTTTGATAGCGACCCCAATTTTCAGGTGCAAGCAATTAATATAGGGTTTGATTACATAAGCAGTATGTGTCTTACTGTTTCAGAAAAAAGTCTCACTTAACTACTAAAAAAAGGTGTTTTGGCAAGTGTCTAGGGTATGAGTTGGACTCTGATAAGTTTGTGGTTGTTGGGTACGTTCTCTATGACTTCTGGCATATTGTGATTGATGGAGCACACTTGCCCACTTGCTGGGCCCAGGAACTTTCCAGTGGGGTTCAGGTTGGCTAGTTACACATTGTTTCATTGCTGGGAAAATGAACCTGAGATCTAGCTGATTTTGCTGATTTCTGCAGCCTGTTATGCCGTCAGTTTGCCCTTACAAGGGATCACTGCAAGTCACACACAATAGTAAGGAGGAAGGGTGGCAGCTTCGTGCCAAGGCAGTCAGGAGTAGGATGTGGCCCCAGGCCATCCCTGAACTGTCCAACCAAGATGGCACTGGGTTCAAACCCCCTCGACTTCTCCCTTGAATTTCCTTCTAACTTTCGCCCACCGTGCATCAGTTCTCTTTCTTGATGGTTCTGTCATTTCAGGAATGTTATAGACACGAAATCCTGACGTTGTAGTTAGCCTTTTGGAATCGGCCTCTTCCACTTAGCTGAACTTTCAAGAGATTAAACAGGCTGTCGAAGGTGCTGCTAGGTGTGTTTGCTGTTATTGCTGTTGAGTTGTTGCCCAGGTGGAGGTGTTACACAGCTTGTGGGTCTGTCTGTCTAGGAAAAGGTCTCAGAGTTGTTTCCTGCTGGGGCTCTTACAAAGATGGTTGCTCTGTGTGCTGACCCAAGTTTGGGTTTCTCTGAGAGAAAGTCAGGAGCGCATCATGAAGCCATGTGATATTTGCTTGCTTAAAAAATGAGCCAGCACATGCTAAGGGAAAAGGCAGCTCAGATAGAGAAGGGAACACCAAATAAAGGGTGTTGGGAGGATCCTCCCAGGATGGGAGATGCATGCTGAAAGTAGACTATAGACAAAACATGATTGCTACTCAATGCCTCTTTCTGCAAATCACAGTACCCAAAAGGAGAGAGAGAACAAAAAGGAACACCCTGCCACAGAGGTGGGGTGGGATGGGGGGTGGGGGGTGGGAGGGATATTGGGATCCGTGGTGGTGGAAAATGGACACTGGTGGAGGGATGGGAACTTGATCATTGTATAATTGAAACCCAAGCACAAAAATTTGTAAGTCTACAACTGTACCTCATGGTGTTTCACTAATAAAAATTTAAAAAAAAAATGAGCCAGCAAAATGTTTTCCAGAGAGCCCATGTCATTTCATGCCGGCACGTAGCTAACTCCTCCTCAGCCTTGCCGGCACTTGGTTGTGGTCCCCATTTTCCCTTTAGTCACCCTGATAGGTATGTGGCAATAGCTCGCTGTGGTTTTAATTTGCATTTTCCCGATGGCTAATGGTGTTGAACAGTTTTTAATGTACTTATTTGTTATCTCTTTACTCTCTTGGATGAAATGGCTCTTCATTTTCCCCCCTCATTTTATAATTGGATTTTTAGTTTTTTTTAATTGTTGAGTTTTGAGATTTCTTTATATATTCCAGAAAATAGTCCTTGGTTGGATAGATAGCTTGTAAATATTTCCTCCCAATGTATAGCCTGTTTTTTAAAAAAAAATCCTAATGAGAAAATATTTAACAGAGTGAAAGGTTTTAATTCAATAAAATCTAGTGTGTTGATTTTTCTTTTCATCAAAGTCCAAGAACTCTGTCCTTAGTACTTAGGCTCTAAGGATTTTATCACTTAGATCCATGATAATTTTGAGTTAATATAAGGCACAAGATTTAGGTTGAATTTTACTTACTTTGTGCTAATGATACTGAATTAAACCAATTACTTTTTTTTTCTTTCTGGGACTCTAAGCCAGGCTGTGGGGTGGGTGATAGCCTTCCCCACCCCAAGGGACCCAGCCTCGGCAGCCGATCTCCATTGCCCAACCACTGCCAAGCTCCAGGCCACTTTCCAGACACATTATAAGACACTTCCTAACCATTTATGCCTCTCGGAGAGTCCGGCAAGCTACCAAGAGTATCCTGCCCGCTCTGGCAGAGCCTGGCAACTCCCTGTGGTGTATTTGATATGCCAAATACAGTAATGACAGTAGGTCTCATTCCCCTAACCCTGAAAGAGCCTCCAAATGTTGGGAAAAGATGAGTAAGAAGAGGCTGTTAAAATCTCAGGGCTTGGATGAATAGAGACATTACTGGCACCTGCTTGAGTAACTTGACGATTAGTGGGATGTAAATGATACAGTGATTTTTTTCTGGGTCACCCCAGTGATGCACAAGGATTACTCCTGGCTCTGCACTCAGGAATTACCCTGATGGTGCTTGGAGGACTATATGGGATGCCAGGGATCGAACCCAGATCAGCCACATGCAAGGCAAACACCCTACCCACTGTACTATCACTCTGCCCCCACTCCCCCGCCCCCAACTTAATTACTTTTGCATCTTTGTCAAAAAACAGTTAAGTATGTTTCTGTGGATAATTCCTGAGTCCTCTATTCTGCTTTATTTATGTATATACCTATTTTTCCACTCAAAACACACTCTTTTGATTTAAGACAGTAGACAGTAATTATTAACATTGGAAAGGGTGATATTTGCAGCCTTATTTTTTGTTTTAAAATTGTTTCAAGTCCTCAAGACCTTTTGCCTTCCCACACAGTTGAAATTGTTTAATATCAAGAAAAAAATCCTCTGTGGTCAATTACTTTTGGGGAGCTATCTTTTATAATTCACTTTTCCTCGCTTGAAAATATTATCAGATTTGAGTAGTATTGTTTCATACGTCTAATTTTGAAAAACCAAATGCAAGGTCCAGAAAAGGCTCCATCCAGAAAAGACTACATTCCTTGCAAGCACAAATTTGATCCAGATGTCAAATGTGTTGCCAGCAGCATGGCGTGTTAAATCCTCAGTGGTACAAGAAAAAAAATGGGAGCAGCACAGGCAAAGGCCTGTTATGATGCCTATGACTTCCAGAAAGCCTGTTAACCGGAGCACAACACCCCACTACAAGCACTGCCTCTAAAATGTGAAGCTTTCCCACAACCCAGGTATGCCCATAGCAAGCGTGTGAACACCTGGGTTATCCAGATGATAATAAGGGAAGGAAAGGGGAAACACTTGAAAGAAGAATTAATTAAAAATTTAAATGTGGGTGGGAGTGGGTAGGGCGCTTGCCTTGCATGAGACCCACCTGGGTTCGATCCCTGGCACCCCATATGGTCCCCTGATCCCCACTAGGGTAATCCCTGAGTACGGAGTCAGGAATAAGCCCTGAGCACTGGTGGGTGTGGCAAAACAAAACAGAAGAAAATCAGACGCTCTGGAAATAGGGTAGGGGAGGTAAGCCACTTGCCTTAGACATGTCTGTGGTGGCCGTGATCCTGGTTCAAAATCCCCCTACCCTACTTGTGCCCATATGAGCCCCCAAGTGCAGCCCAGGAGTCACTCCTGAGCACAGCGTCAGGAATTACTCCTGAGCCTTGCTGGGTAGGGTTCAAAACAAACAAATGAAAACTCCAAATGAGTCAAAAAGACAACGCAATTCAAAATCAAGCGTTTCAAGTCACTGGAAATGAATACAAACTTAAATAGCAGTAAGAATGATTCCAGGGGCCAGAGAGATTATACAGGTATGAAGGCACTTGTCTTACGTATAGCCAACCCCTGATCCAACCTGACACTTGATGGTCCCCTGAACATCACCAGATGCAGCCCTGGAGGCCCCTTAGCATTGCCAGGTATGCCCTTGCACCCTAGCATCGAACCCTTTGCTGCTCTGGCTGGGAATTCCTGAGCACTGTTTGGGAGACTCCTCCCCCCTAAAAGAATTATTTGTTTGTTATTTTTATTTTCTTTTATTTTTGGGGCCACAATCAGGCATTACTCCTGACTCTGAGCTCAAGGAACATTTATGGCGGGGCTCAGGAGACCATAAGGGATGCTGGGGACCAAATCCAGATCAGCCATGTGCGAGGCGAGCACCCTACCTGCTCTACTATGGCTCTGGTTCCCCCCAAAGTGGTTCCACATGAAATAATACTTCTCCAAACTCTGTTATTGAAACTAACCTATTAAAACTTGCTTCTTTCTTATTTTATCTTCTTTGTTTGAAATAGTATGCTAATTGAATTTTTATGAATCCATATTAATATATTTTTAACAGGCATTGCAGATTAAATGCTGCTATCTCAGAAAGGAACATAATAGAATTAGTAAAAAAGAGAAATGGAGACTCAAGAAGAGTAAATAAAAGCAGAAATTAAAAAGGTTAAAATGTAAGGTCTCACTTGGCCAACACAGACCTCCAAGACATTTATAGGCCGAGTTATTACACCTAACAGAACAAATAAACATTTATAATGACAGCAGGTCTAAGTCAACGACAGCAGGTTCAAGTCACAGAGCTGGGTATTTTTATAAGAAGGTTTAAATCACATACATAAAATTTCAAGGATCTGCTTTTTTTTTTTTTACAGTATTTACTATGGTATCTAGATTTCCCAGTTTCTAGCTCTTTGCTTGTATATGGAAGGAAATTTAAATATGGAATAGGAAGAACGAAACTGTACACCCTTTTGGATTTTGTCCAAGATTCCCAATTTAGACTCTAACACTCCTTCTTATCTCCACGCAGAACACCAGGCGCTGCTGGTCTGACGAGAGAGATGCAGGGCTCAGACAAGACTCGCTTAGTAGG